TGTTTGACATCATAAGACACAGAGATATGCAAATTAAAATCATAAGGTGAAAGTATGTGTAGATACTAAATGGCTATGATCAAAAAGACTAACAGTATCAATTGTTGGTGAGTATTCAGCAGTATTAGAATCATCATACATATTTGCTAATGAGAATGTAAAAGGATATAAACATTTTAAAAAACAATTTGACAGTTCCTTAAAAAGTTAAACTTATAATTACTATACAATCCAAAAATTCTACTCCAAGATATCTACACAATAGAAATAAAAATATGTCCACATAAAAACCTGTATGTCAATGTTCACTGCTAAAAATTGGAAACAACTCAAATGTTGATAAACGAATGAACAAGAACCACGTTATCTATATAATGGAGTAATAATCAACACTAAAAAATAAATATTGATATAGGCAATGGTACGGATGAACCTCAAAAATATGTTAAGTAAAAGAATACAGAGATGTAAGTCAACTTTTTGCATGATTCTATTTATATGTAATTTCTAGAATAAGAAAAACTATACAAAAAGAAAATCTCTTGGAGATAGGGATGGAAGAAAGGACTGACCATAAATGGGCCAAGAAAACTTCTTTCTGTGATGAAAATATTACAATATTGGGTTGTGGTGATATTTACTAAAAAGTATACACTACTACAGTCATCAGTCTCCACATCTTAAAGAAGACTTTTTTGAGGCCCTATTAAGCTAGGTGATTATGTTCTATGTAACTTTTTGGAGTGCTGGTTTCATTCACACCAATATACAAATATGGAAAGATGTAATTCTGTTAAGTCCAAAGTACTTTTAAAACAGTAGTTTCATATGGTTCAATCTAAATATTTTGGCACCCATGAAAAGAATTGGAGTAAATGAGGCAAGATTAATAACATGTAGGCAACTGAATGACAAAGGAGGGCAAACTTGAATGTAATTTGTATAAGCAGAAATTTGGAGAGGGAATTGCTGACATGTAATTGATGGTCATTGACAGCCTGTGCTAAGCACTTTACCACTACAGAGGTACAACCCCAGCCCCTAAAAGTATTTTTCGAAAAGTAGAAAGTTTTTAAAAGGCGAAAAATTTATATGATAGACCCTGCGTCTAATAGAAGAAAAAGTAGGCCCTAATCTCCATCGTGTGGGATTAAGCCCCAACTTCCTTAATAAGACTCCTTGGCACAAGAATTAAAATTAAGAATCAATAAAAGGTTCTTCTCAGCAAAAGAAACAATCTGTGAGGTAAATAGAGAGCCTACATCTGGAAGCAAATCTTCACCCTTCGCATAACAGAGCACTAATCTCGAGGGTATATAAAGAAGTCAAAAAGCTAAGCAAAAAAAAAAAAAAATCAAAAAAAATAACCCAATCTGGGCTGGGGATGTGGCTCAAGTGGTAGTGCACTTGCCTGGCGTGTGCAGCCAGGGTTTGATCCTCAGTACCACATACAAACAAAGATGTTGTGTCTGCTGAAAACTAAAAAATAAATATTAAAAATTCTCTCTCTCTCAAAAAAATCAAATTATAAAAAAAAATCTTCTTTTTAAATAAATAAATAACCCAATCAATAAATGGGCCAAGGACCTGAACAGACACTTCTCAGAAGATGATATACAATCAATCAACAAGTATATGAAAAAATGTTCAGCATCTCTAGCAATTAGAGAAATGCAAATCAAAATTACTCTAAGATTTCATCTCACTCCAGTCAGAATGGCAGCTATTATGAGGATAAACAACAATAAGTGTTGGTAAGGATTTTGGGAAAAAGGCACACTCATACACTGCTGGTAGGACTGCAAAATCGTGCAGCCAATATGGAAAGCAGTATGGAGATTTCCTGGAAAATTGGGAATGGAATTACCATTTGACCCAGCTATCCCTCTCCTCGTTCTATACCCAAAGGACTTAAAAACAGCATACTACAGGGATACAGCCACATCAATGTTTACAGCAGCATAATTCACAATAGCTAAACTTTGGAACCAAACTTGATGCCCCTCAGTAGATGAATGGATTAAAAATGTGGCATATATACACAATGGAATATTACTGAGCAATAAAAGAAAATAGAACGATAGCATTTGCAGGTAAATGGATGGCGTTGGAGAAAATAATGCTAAGTGAAGTTAGCCAATCCCCAAAAAACAAATGCCAAATGTTTTCTCTGATGTAAGGTGACAGACCCATAATGGGATAGGGAGGGGGAGCAGGGGAGGAATAGACAAACTCTAGATAGGGCAGAGGGGGCAAGGGATTAGCAATGATGGTGGAATGTGATAGACACCATTAAAAGTACATGTATGAAGACATGAATTGGTGTGAACATACTTTATATGCAGAGATATGAAAAATTGTGCTCTATATGTGTAATAAGAATTGTAATGCATTCCACTGTCATGTATTTAAAAAATTAAATCAATATAAAAAATAAAATTTAAAAAATAACCCTCAAAAAAAAAAGTAGAAAGTAAAGTGGTATAGCCATAGCTATCAACCAAGTCTTATCAAAGAGAAACATAAATGTTTTTGTAAAACAGAAAACATTTCTAGTTATACCTCTGAAAATGAACTTAAATTGATTCCAGCTGACTTTTTCAATTTATTGATTTGTGACTATCAATCCAATAGAAACCTATTTTTAAGGTGAGGAAGAAGTGAGGGAAGAGGGTTTGCAGGTTAAAGTTTATTTTGTATACGACAATCCTTGACTTAAAAAAGTTTGTTGGGCTGGGGATGTGGCTCAAGCGGTAGTGCGCTCGCCTGGCATGCGTGTGGCCCGGGTTTGATCCTCAGCACCACAAACAAAGATGTTGTGTCCGCTGAAAACTAAAAAATAAATATTAAAAAAAAATTCTCTCTCTCTCTCTCTCTTTAAAAAAAAGTTTGTCAACAGGCTGCCTAGGACTTTCAGACCTATTTTGCAAAGTAGATGTTAAACTTGACACTATATCAACTATATTTAGTTATTATTTGCATATATACGTAAGGGGTATAATAAATTACAATAATTAATTATGTTAAGTCTGAAGTACTTTTAAAACAGTAATTTCATATGGTTCAATCTAAATATTTTGGCAACCATGAAACAGAACTAATTATGTTTAATTACACATAAAAAATAATATCACTTTCCATTGCTATATCAGAATATCTGAAACTGGATAATTTACAAAGAAAAGGGGTTTATTTTGGTTCACAAATCTGAAATTCCAAGAGTGCATCTGCTCAGCTCAGTTTCATGGTGGAAAGAAGCAGGTATATGCAGAAGAAAGGACAGATGTGAGAAAGGCTGAAAGGTGGTTCCAGGTATGTTCTGGTAAGAACTAATTCATTATCACAAGAACTTATCCAGTCTCAAGAGAACTAACCCAGTCTATTGAAAAAGACATTAATATATTCATGAGGACACTGACCTAATCACCTCTCAAAGGCACCTCTGAATACCACTACTCGGGAATCAAATTCCAATGTGTTTTGGTAGGGAAAAACTATACCTAAACTATCGCAAAGGCTTATGCTGAAAATTAGTTCCAAAATCTAGTCCAGAACCAGACATCTTAGACAACATATCCATGTGTGTGATCTTGCTCAACCTGTTCAAGACAGGTAAGGTAGGTACTTTTTAAAATCAACCCCTCCTCCATTGTTCTTAATATTTCAATTGGAGAAATGGGAAGAGATGATGAATAGTGAAAAAATAAAGACTTGAATATTTTCTGAGAGGCATAATAGGTCAAATATTTAGATAGGAAATAGTTGTGTTTTTTTTTTAAAGAGAGAGAGAGAGAGAGAGAGAGAGAGAGAGAGAGAGAGAGAGAGAAAGAGAGAAATAATTTTTTTTAATATTTATTTTTTAGTTCTCGGCGAACACAACATCTTTGTTTGTATGTGGTGCTGAGGATCAAACCCGGGCCGCACGCATGCTAGGAGAGCGCACTACCGCTTGAGCCACATCCCCAGCCCCAATAGTTGTGTTTTTTAAAAATAAATAAGATAGAAAGTGATAACTATTTACAACTTGGAAATTCTCTTGAACTAATAAACTATAATTCTAAAAAGCAAATAGTACCCCTTCCCTCGAGAGCATGAGATAAACCTTATTCTTAATTTGAAGAATTTTCTTAATTATTTAGCATTTTGTGGGAGGCTGATATAGCATATGACCAGCATTTGCTTTCCCTCCCTGTCAGCTGAGGCACTGTTGGTCAGCCTGTGATTTGGTTGCTCTAAGTAACCGAAGACTGTAGCCCCGATCTTGAGGGTAGAGAAAACGCAAATGTGTCTTCATGCGTAGGTGTGCCTTCCTACATCCCCAGGGACGGAGCTACGCTCACCTGTTCCTTTGTGATATTACCCCTTGCCCTGTTTGGGACAGAATGTTCCATGGAAACGCCCTTTGTGTGTCCCCTTCTCTTACTCTGCCCTTGGGTGTGGCCTTCCTAGCTGTCAGTCAACCTGCTGACAGCAGACATCCTAGACTCAGTCCCTCTTGCCTCATTTGAGTGGCTTCTCCTCAATAAAAAGGGTCAGCACATGCTCACACTCTCTCTCTCTCTGCAGACCCTTAAGGTCAGAGGAGCCGTCGGAGCACCCCCAAAGAAAAAGGTATTTCTGTCTCTTGTGTGGTTATTTCACGCAGCCCAGTTCCACCTTTATGACAAATCTTGTCACACTGATAGCAATGAAGCTACTTGAAAAGACCCCTGAGTGTTTTAGTCACATCCAACGTGGTGTCCCTGGGTGGGCAGGTTTGAGTGTTTAAGTCCCCGGGAACGTGACAGCATTTGGTAAAAATTTCTGAAAAATTCAGAACTCAGTGAGCAACAGAGCTAGAAGTATGGCTTCCATAAGTCATAGAGCATCACATTTCTTAAAAGCTGCATAAAAAGAATATTAAAATAAAAACCAAACAATAAACAAACAAAACCTCCAACATCACTGATACATATCTTACTAAATCACACATTTATTTACCAAAATCTTAATTTTCTAACCTGGAATGTCGGAGGCTATCCTTTTTGTTTTTTGCAGAACACAATGTACATTCACAGCCAACTGCATGGGGCTTGGGTAGAGAAACGTCCTGTTTTAGCAGCATTGTAAGAATCTCGTAGTTGTTACGATGAGCAGCTAAAATGACAGGTGCGACATCCATAGTAGTTGAGTACTCAGGATTCTGGATTCGTTCCATTAGTTTCTGAAAAATATTTATATAAATGTCCAAAAGTTATTATTTGTGACTTCAAAAAATATTTATCTGAAGAATGAAATGAAAAAAAATAGGAAGGCACAAAGAACTTAGTAATTATTTTAAAGAATATGATAAGCATTATACTTGGACTACATTTTTTGAAACCTCAAAACTTAATTCAGTTAATAAATGGAGTATAATCATAACAGACAAAGTCTTCAGTAGGAAACATTCATATAACTAGAGTTCTATTTTCTAAGAAAAAAAGAAGTAAAGCTAACTAGAGAAATACCTTAGAAAAAAGTATTTAATTTTTACAAGACTATAGAACATGCATGAGAAGGAAAAAGAGTAAGAATTTTAGAAAAAGAATATAATGAAAAAACAGAAATGTTAAAAACAGAGTACAAATGCATGAGAAAAATTAAAAATTTCATCTTTATGACAAATCTTGTCACACTGATAGCAATGAAGCTTCTTGAAAAGAATAGGAAGCACTCTTCATTCTGTATAGTTCTTTACCTATACTACTTCCTATTGCAAATGCACAAAAACACTATCGATCACAGTTACTATTTAATGAGTCCTGGAACTATTAGCACATTACATTTATCATCTCATTTAATCCTCACAGTAGCCTATAAAACTGAGCATAATTAATCCCCATGAAGAAACTGAGGCTCAGAGAAGTTAATGTGCCCAAGCCACACAATGGAGTGGCAGGGTGCTGATCAGAATCCAGGTCTGTACTACCAGGAGCCTGAGCTCCTTCTAATTCGTGGGCACAGGGGCCTGAGGATGACATGAAATGAGGAAAAAAATATTAGTAATCAAAGGATCAAGGTTAAATAAAAAGGTTGACTATTTTATGACTATTGTATATTCTTTCCAATACTTCTCACTTTTTCGCAGAGGTTTCCCTGAGAGCTGTTTGATCCAGGGTAAGCTGATCAAGTTCACATTTTGGTAATTTTTATTAACATTGTAAAAGTAGTGTACACTCAATATAAAATATCTGAAAAATATAGAAAAGCAGAAAGAAGAATAAAAATACCTATATTCCTTCTATCCAAATAACATTTTACAGTACAATATTTCCTTCTAGTCCTTTCTCTATCACACCCCTTTCTAAAAGACATTTTTTGAATAAATAATAGGTATGCTAAACACCAGTAGTTAAAAACCACAATTCTTACTTTTTCAAAGATCAAGGACAATTTTTAATAATCTTATAAAGCTATAGCCCAGGATCTTCAAGGAAAAAATTAATGTTCATAATTTTACATGCAATTTAAGGAAGTTCATAGACTATGTTCAAGATATTTTGCTAATTTAAATAACACTATAACAAACATCTTTATGAAAACAGGTTTTTGCAAATTTAGGATTATCTCATTAACACAGACACTCCAACACAAAGTGGAATTATAGATCTAAAGATCATGAACAGTTTTGACACTCCTAATGATTAATATCACAGTTCTTTTAGTAGCTTATATTACCAATAATATTTAAAAAGTATTCATTTTACCCTAAAGTTTTACTCACCAGTGCTGGGTAAGTTAGATAAATTATAATTTATGAATGAAAAACATCATTATGAAATTTTAATTTGCTTTACTTTGATTACTGGTAAATTTTAATGTTTTACAATATACTTTTTAAATTTTGTTTTTCCCCTTTTATGAATAGTTTGTATGGACACTTCCCAATTACTTATTAAAGACTTCAAATTAATGAATTTAACAATTACAGAGAAACCTAAAATTAACCATTTTCCCTCTTACTGCATTATTGGCCATGAAGAAAATTATATTTAGTCCTAACAGAAAAATCCTAAGAGAAAAGTGGTCCTCATGCTTCTTATGAAACATTTAACTATATGAAAAACACTATTAAGACATGCATAAGATTAATATCCATAAGTTCATTGTTTGTAACATAAGTCTATGTATTATCAAATAACCTGTATTTGAAAGCCAATTGGGAAAATAAAATTTTGACAAGTCAAGAATAGAGAATGAAATCACTGAAGTGGTAAAATAAAATATAAAAAAAATTTAATATTGTCTATCTGGCAGAATAGGGCTATTAAGTATGATCTTGCTGACACTGGAAGTATTTAGATAAAGACTGAATAACCTTCATTTGTTGGAGTAGACAGTGTTTTCACACTGATTAGGTGAGGACTGCCAAAGTCATGCAACTCTAAGATTTAACTGACAGTGGTAACAGTGATAAGATAATACTAGTTAGGGGTTTCAATATTTAGTGCACTCCACTCCACATTGCCACTCAAGAAAGGAAATGGGTTGAAAGGCTAGGAATAACATGTAGACCAAAATATGATAGTAACTTTAAGATAAATGGCAGAAAATTCAATAGGATTCCAGATATTTCTGGTCCTTTGGATAGGGACTATAGTCTTAGTTCTTTTTTCTTTATTCCTGTTAGTTTCTTACCACTACTTAAACTAGATGGTAATATCCTCTGCAACAAGTCATACATTTTTGTTTTTATTATAGTGTTGTTTTATTTTTTGTGGCTCTGGGAATTGAACCCAGGGCCTTGTATATGCCAGGCAAACCTCTACCACTGAGCTACACCACCAACCCAGAAAGTCACATTCTTATAAGTCTAAATGAAAGTAAAAATTTTCAATTATGATAAAGGATGAAATTTGGCAGAGCTTCTTACAGTTCTTAGATCATGGCACATAGTGTGCTACAAATTTATAATTATTTCTTAAAACATTATTTTTCTTCTGTATATAACCTATCTATACTCCCAGCAGTTATTTAAACTGTTGCATTTTGCCCTCATAAATAATAAATGATACAATTTAAAAACTTGATGTACAATATATATCTTATTTTTAAATTAGTATTTATCTGATTATTAATGCTATCCTAATTAAACAGCAATAAAGAAAATATTTTAAAGAAAAAATATACTTAATTTGGTCAAGCAACAAAAGATGAAAATTTTGCTACATTTAGATAGTCTTTTATTCAGTATTTTTAACATTGGATCAAATAACATGTATAATTCATTATCCCCATTTTTTCCCACTTAATACATCATAAATTTACATATTTCAAAAAGTTCTTTTTAAAAATATTTATTTTTTAGTTATAGTTGGACACAATACCTTTATTTTATTTATTTTTGTGTGGTGCTGAGGATCGAACCCAGGGCCTCGCATGTGTATTTGCTAGGTACGTGCTCTACCACTGAGCCACAACCCCAGCCCCTCAAAAAATTCTTTTTAAAATAGCATTCTAATGACTGCATATTTCACTGTGTGTACACATAATTATTCACATTTCCTATCTTCTTTTAAGATGTTTATTTTCTTCACCCTGGTGCTGGGAATCAAACCCGGGGTCTCCCACATTCATAGCAAGCCCTTACCACTGAGCTATTTTTAGAATGTTTAAACTTGTGTTACCTTGCATTGTTTTTCACTGCTATAAATAAAACTGTAATCAACATTTTTATCCATTTTTTAACCATATCCTTCACAGATTTCTAGAGGAGAAAACACTAAGAATATGACAGCTTTCTTGTTTATGACACATCTTGCCAAAATGTTTTCCAAAATACCTCCACCAGCACATAAACCTCTACTTCTCCCTTGCCATCAATGATCATCATTAAAAATATTTGCTAAGTACATGCTTGTAGCCCCAGCTACTCATTAGGCAGGCTTGCAGAGAAGAATTGCTTCAGCCCACAAATTCAAGACCAGCATAGGCGACATTGTGAAATCCTATCTCAAAAAAAAGGGGGATTTTTTGTAATTTAATAAGCAAAAATTAGTATCTCACATTTGATTATCAGTAAGGTTTAACATTTTATTTTTATTTTTATGAATTTTTTGTCATTTTGTAATATGATTTGATGTCTTCCATTAATTTATCTAATATTAAAACAAAGATTACTAATTTGAGATATTTGCTGCAAGTATGTTTTGCCAGTTTTCCATCATTTTCTAAATTTTGCCTAATGTTTGGATTCCATCAATTTAATGTATATAACAGCCAAAGACTGTCCCACTGTAATTTTTGCCCATTATTTTTATGCTTTAAAAAAAAATCCTTTTACTCCTAATCAGTTAAATATTCATCTACATTGTCTTCCAGTTTTATAGTTTCACTGAATAATTTTATGGTGTACATTTAATTCTTAAGTCTATCTAGAAATTAGCCTATATTTTCAACATTACCTGCAGAATATTCTAGACTAAAAGTGTCCATTATAATAAAATTATGGGAATGTCAATTAATTTTAAAAAGTTTTCCTGAAAGCAATACTAATTATTATTGCAAATGTCTATTTACTTTAAGGTAATACTTTACAAGTGAAAAAAATCTACTTTTTAAAAAACCGAAACAAATTTGGGGGAAGAAAAAAATGGCAATGGAGCAGGAGATCTACTTTGGCTTAAAAATCCAAATTAATAAATATTTAAGAGTACTAACTACTATAGTTGGTCTTGATGCCCGTTTTGGTCGATGATTAAGTAGTATATCAACAGCTCCCACTACTTCAGAGTCGATTGCCACCAAAAGTGCATCTGCGGACTTCAAAAAAAAAAAAGTTAAAAAAAGAAAATGGAAGATAAAAAGGTAAACTATTTATTTTTTTACTAATTCATAAATAAAATTATTTTTTAAAATTTAAACTGTATTATATACAGTAATACTGAATTTGCAAAAATTAAAACTGTACAAATAGTACATGTGCTTTCCTTAGCAGTACTTCTGTGTACTACAATACACACTGTCTGTTCTGGTTTTAATGCACGAGTTGATAAAATAAGGAATGCTTAATCAAAGGGATTACTAGCGGAGTAGTGCTGATCCATGCAGTATTTAAAGTTGGATAAATTTTTTTCAAGACCTTTACTCTTGAACTGCAGACCAAAAAAAAAAAAAAAAATCTTAATGTTCCAAATCTATAGATTATTGATAGGAACCATTACTACAGGCAAAGAATTATGTTCAGTCTAACAAAAATTATCATTGTCAATGCAATCATGAGAACAGGGCAAAGTAAAAAAGTTCTAAAGGGAAGAGCACTCTTTTCTTATCTTTGAAACATACATGGCTGAAAGAAGTTGTACAAATTTGGCATTAATAGTAACTATCATCAAGTATAAACCCAAAGAATTTTAAGCTGCCAAAGCATATAAAGGGCAGGAAAAAGAAGTGATTTTATAGTTCTACTCTCAACCTAGAGCTCATTGTGAAGACCCACTTCTGACAGGAGGAAAAGTCAACAGATTCACAGGAAATAAGAACTTTTTGATTCTCTGTAACAGTCTGTAGTCCTTTTGGCAACCATGACAACAGAATTTGCTTTCTTTGGGTTTTTTATTTAAGGAAAACCATAAAGACAAAAGGAAAACATGGGAATAAATAATGTTTAATTTTTCAAAATGCCCTGGTTATTTTCAATCTGTTCATTTTTAACTGTAATAATCTTTACTATTTAAATAAATCAACATTATTGCTCTGGAGAATGAAATTATATCAGACCTTTAATAGTTCTTCATAGCTGAAAAGAATAAAGCTTTTATCCACTTTATCCAAATGTCAAAAATAGAGCTAAAAATGACAGACTTTACCTGGACATTGAAAAACAGTACTATACACAGGAAGAAAGGGCTGAAGTCCCCATTCAACATTAGCAATCACCCAAGTTCTCTCTCAGAAAAAACTTCCTACCCAAATGTGAAATTTAATCCATCATTTTTTTCCTTTAAAAATTTTAGGGTTGGGGCTAGGGTTGGGGCTCAGTGGTAGAGTGCTCGCCTAGCATGTGTGAGGCACTGGGTTCAATCTCAACACCATGTAAAAAATAAATAAATAAAAAATTTAGGGTTCATTGGGCTATACAGCCCTTGATTTCAAGTCTTAGCATTATTCTTCTGCTTTGTAAACATTTTTCTTCAGTTTTAGCATATTAAGTTAAACAAACAAACAAACAAACAAAAAAGAACCCTGTACCCATTACTAATAAATATTTCATTTGTGGTTTTAAATTTCAACCATAAAATAATTATTATAGTTGCTCTCAAAATCAAATACCAGGCAATCTCAACCATTTGAAACATAGCCATTGATCCAGCCACAACTTAACACACACACACACACACACACAAACTTTTACTGAGTTGTCACAAATAACTTCATGAGCGTTACTGCCCAGAAGAAACAGGTATAGGTATAAGCATGCAGTCTTAGAGTTGTCTATAAATAATGGATATCTGGCTTTCCCAAGTATCCTTCAGATCTTTACTGCATAAGGGAACAGCTAGGTTAAAATCAACAAAGGGGAGAAGGGTTGGCTAGTGAATAAATAAAATAGCAGTGTAGCAAAATCTCTGTCAATACACAGCAGTCTGGAGACATCTGACATAGCGACAAACATGTTAATAGTTTTAGACCATATGAAGCAAAGTAAAATGATTACACTCTCAATTATTCCAATTTATGGTATTATAGTTAAATTATATTCAGATATACTACTTAGTAAAGAATATTTATATTATGTATCTCAATGCTTAAAAGGATAAGCTTCAGCTATAAAATATTTATTTGTATAAAAATGTCATGTAAATAAGGAGTTACCATTGATTTGTTCTGTACAAACAATATGTTATTTGATAAATAGTGGCTGTTATGAAGGAAAAGTATTTTAAATTCTTTTCAAAATATATACAAGAATACAAAATATCCTTGCTAGTTGTTTCCCACTTTCTCAGACATCTGACAATTCCTTATTAAAATAGCTTCAATACAAATGTCATTATGTATTTATGAGGTCCCTATCTTCCTTCTCACCTTAGAGTTTGTCTTTCAACAATTCCCATACTCTTTCCTCTAAACTTGGGGTAAGAAGCTAGTTATTTCCTTTCCAAACCTAATTTTCCAACTTAGTATTCTAGTTAATGTTCTCCAATCTTCTATAAGACCATGGTCCTCCACTGGCAAAAATAGTGGTTCCAGGATGGGAGTGGTAGCGCTTGCCTGTAATCCCAGTGGCTTGGGAGGCTGAGGTAGGAGGATTGCGAGGTTCAAAGCCAGCCCCAGCAAAAGCAAGGCACTAAGCAACTCAGTGAGATCCTGTCTCTAAATAAAATACAAAATAGGGCTGAGGATGTGGCTCAGTGGCCAAGTGCCCCTGGGTTCAATCCCTGGAACTTCCAACCTGCCCACCCCTCAAAAAAAATACTGGTTCCAACTCCCACCTCTCACAACTTTAAATTGTTCCTTGCTCTTTGCTAACTTAACTTGATCTTATCTCTTATCACTCACCTTTTCTTCTTCCTTTCATGTGTCAAACTTCTCAAATCAACATGCATCATTTTCTCTAATTCTACCCAACCCATACTTTCAAAATCCAATTCCCATTTCTATCTCCTCATTTTCCTTGATTTATAAGCAACATATTAAAAATTCTTTTCTTTGCCTTTCGTACTATCTCAACTGCCCCTGACATCTTCAATTATTCACTGGTCCCCTTTAATGAAACCCTTTACTTCAAATGCCCTTTATTAAATGTAGGCCTCCCTAAGAATAAGTCTGCAGCAGACCTTTGCTTGTAACATCAATGGTCATCTGAATGCCTATGATTGCCTACATTTCTCTCTTTATCTAAACCTGTCCCTAGAGATACAAATCTTCACCTGTGACTGCTGGGAACTGCTTGATAGTCCTCAAATAGATAAGGCTAAAACCATAAAATCAGAAGTCATTTTCCTTTGCACCAAGCCTGATTTCTCAACTTGCTAGTTTTCTTTCATCCTTCTTTCAGTCATCCATGTTTAAGATTTTCAAGTAATCTTCAACTCCTCTTTTCTCCCCTCCAGATTTAAACACTCAAGAAATCTTTCAATTCTTCTTTCATAGATCTCTAATATCTGTCTTGT